CCCGAGAGAAAATATTCAGATAATCCCGAGCAACCTGATTCTCAATAGGACTAGTAAGACCCAAACTGAAATTATGGGAACTCTCGAATTGCTTAGCAAGTTTCTGAGCTTTTTCCAAATTTGTGATCAAAATTTTACCACCTTCTTTAAGCGCTGGAATAGGCTTTTGAGGTTTTTTCAAAATTTTTGTGAGTTTCCAAAAGGGTTTGGAACTCGGGTCTAATTTAGAAATATTATTTTCAAAAGTTTTGTTCCTCAGGGCAGAGAATCGCTTTTTAATTTGTTTTTGCAAATCCCGCCAGATAACCTTCATGGCAGGATCGCGTGTTCTTTGATATTGTCTCCTACGGACATTTTTAAGACGGATCAAGAGCTGAAGATCATCGTCTATTATAATTGAATCCAATTTAACCTCGCATTTTGGTACTGAGGCAGCTCTTGCTTCAACTATAGAAGTAGTCAGAGATTCAAGAGCATAATTAATTTCATCTTTGGTTTGCAAAGGAATGTTTGGATCGAAGTTATATTCCATAAATGTTCGATACTGCTCCCAATCAGCTCTATGGTAATTGAAAGTAGAGCTGTTGGGATTACAAATTATTTCTTGGGATATTTCAAAAGTTACTGGAAGGTGATCAGAACCGAAGTCAGCATGGGTAACCAATTGGCTACAAAGTTGACATGAATCAGTTAAGACCAAATCAATAGTGGAGGGATTTCTTGCAGAAGAAAAGCATGTTGGGCTGTTTGGATATTGAATAGTGTAATAACCTGCAGAACAATCATCAAACAGAATATTACCATTGGAATTGCTTTGAGCATTATTCCATGAGCGGTGTTTTGCATTAAAATCACCAATAATGAAGAATTTAGACCTATGACGGGTAAGTTTCTGGAGGTCACCCTTGAGAAAATTCTTTTGCTGGCCTACGCATTGGAATGGCAAATAGGCAGCTATAAACGTAAGTTGTCCAAATTTTGTTTCAACAGAAACTCCCAAAGTTTCAAAAACTTTGGTTTCAAATGAAGAAAGAATTTTATGTTTGATTCGCCTATGAATAATGATGGCAACGCCACCACAGGGTCCATCAAGACGATCATTTCTATAAATCAAGTAATTTGCGTCCTTCTTAACCTTATGGTCAGGTTTAAGGAACGTTTCAGTTATAACGGCAATATGCACGTTATGAACTCGCAAAAAGTTAAATAGCTCGTCTTCATTATCTTTAAGAGATCGAGCATTCCAATTTACAATATTTAATGCTTTAAAATCCATTACTGAATTTTAAAGTCATGACAATATTATTTGCAAATTTTACTCCAGTTTGAATAGCATCAAACATGGAGTTAGATTTAAGCATATCAGAAATCATGTCAATTAATGATTTCTGTAAAAATTCCATTTTGGGGGCAGTAATGCTTCCTAAGTCAAAATTGTCAAAATTTCCGTTAGAACGTTGGTTAGTATTTTGATTTCTACCCGCTGCAATAGCAGCATAGGTAGCTCCATTAACTCGCTGAACATTGTTAGCAGCGAGGGGAGTAGGTACAGATGAAACATTTGAAGCAGGGGAGATATTTGTACCTACGGGTACGAATGTAGAATTTGTTCCTCGCTGACCGTTGTTAACAGCAGAGGAATTTGTACCTGGTCGGAAACGTGGAGCGTTTCCTACCTGACGGTTAGAACGAGATTGTAGGATCGCTTTGCGAGTCTTACATTCCCAAAAATTGGATTTGTGGTTTTCACCACAATTTGAACATTTAAATTTCTTAGGATCTTCCTTCACAGGACAGTCGTCCTTTGCGTGAGAGGAATCACCACAATTCATGCATTTAGCTGGCATGTAGCAATTTTTAGTTCCGTGACCCCATCCCTGGCACTTACGGCACTGGGTGAGGTTTTGGAAATTTCCTCCAGTCTTCCTGAAGTGTTCCCACTTCACTCGGACATGGAGCATAAGGCTAGCTTTTTCTAAGGCCTTAAGGTTGTTTAGTTCACTAGACTTGAAGTGAACTAAATAAAAATCATTAGAAATACCGTTGCGCGAATCGCCAGGACGGGATTTCATTTTCATTTTGATTACTTGGAGTGGCACAACTCCAAGTAATTTTGCCAGTTCATCTTTGATCTGATCCAGGGATTCACCACTGGGCAGTCCTTTCATGACAACCTTGAACACACGTTCAGTTTTGGTGTCGTAAGTAAAAAATTTGTGCTTCTTCTCAGTAAGATACTTGAGAAGACATTTAAATCCGTCCAAGGTTTCAGCCAATACACGGCATTCACCCCGACGTCCAATTTGTAGTGAAAACTTAACTTTCACGAAATTCAAAAGTTCCATGCGAAGAGCATGGAAATCGGTAGTGGTTATCACAATAGGGGGAATCTTTTCCTTCTTGGCATTAAGCCGGGAAAGTTTACTAGAATTTTTCTTGGATGATGGATCATTCTCATCATCCGTGAGCAAATCGAATTGATTACTCAAATTAATTTCATCAGAAGGGGGGTCAAGAGTTTGCCCCTTTCTTTTGCGTTTAGGCGCCATGGCGGCAGTAAATTTTTATCCAAATCGACTTCCAAGCAGATTACTATAAGAATCTGAAGGATCGAAGAGGAATTTTCCAAATCGATATCCAAGAAGGATTACCTCGGGTAGGGTCCAAACAAGGATCGAAGAGGAATAAGAGTTGAACAAGGTAGAAAATTTTTACAGGTTGAGCACTGAAAAGTGCTGTTTAAATTTGTTGTAGCTTTAGGTAGTAGTAACACTTCCTTCAGCAAAAAGCAAATAGATCCGCACGGCAAGAGAGCACGATGCGGACTGAAAAAGACTGTTGATTAATGCATTGAAAAGCTTATAATTTAGATTGTTGTTAAGCTTTGGGCTGATTAAAATCACCAGATTTAGATGTTTAAAAGCTGAACAAAGGTTAAAGTGGTCTATGTACAACAATTATTAAAACTAAGCCTGAATTAAAATCGTTGAAAGAACACTTGTTAAGCATCAATTTGTTACCTGGGCGAATACCAAGCCCATACAGTTCATGGTAGGAGCCACCTACATAGCTTATTTATGCAAAGATTCATGCAAGGTCGAGTCTGATCGATTCGTCATTAGGCGAGGAACTGCTCACATACAGAATGCTGATGAGAATTCTTATTCTGTTTTCAGGGAAATTTCAATGAATCACTAGGAGCATTCCAACGAAATTTTGAGGAGAATTTCAAGTAAATGTCAGAAGAATAGGGAATCCCATAAAAGTAATTTCCTTTTCATATTTAGAAGCACTTGGATTTATCAGTTAGGAAAGGGATGCCAATTTTAACGGTTTGCCAAGGGGGTAGTAAGCCCTTACTAAAACACTGCTCACAACAAAATTAAAGCTGAATAGGACATTATTCAGGCAAATATTTGCTTCTTCTGCTAAAATATTGCAGCATTTAATCAGCTAAAATTGTTTGTTGGGCAGGATATTACAAATTTGACAAGTTCAAACATTCAAAGTGTTTTTTATGTTACTTCATACGCGAAGTTAACGATTTTCAGAGTTGGTTGGAAATGCTAACATGAAGCTTTAGTGTGATGATTTATTAGCTAGAGAATGATCTTTAGAAGAATGTAGGTGGATAGTTCCGTTAGAGTACGGCAGTATGAAAATTGAATAGAAGTTGAAAATGAGCGAAGGGCCATTAAAGCGACAGTTTTCAAGATGACGCACATTTTTGCCTAGCCCGTACGATGTACGCGGGGACTTGAAGTATGTCTCCAAGTCCACAGGCAAAAATGTGCGTCATCTTGAAAACTGTCGCTTTAATGGCCCTTCGCTCATTTTCAACTTCTATTCAATTTTCATACTGCCGTACTCTAACGGAACTATCCACCTACATTCTTCTAAAGATCATTCTCTAGCTAATAAATCATCACACTAAAGCTTCATGTTAGCATTTCCAACCAACTCTGAAGTTCAAACAGTTTGTAAGCATTTTCTCGGCAGCAAAAATATAAATCTGAAATCTGGAGTATTCCTTTAAGCCTTAGTTTAAGTTTCAAAACATTAGGAAGTCGTTTATTCTTTAAAAAATCTAGATCCAAAACCATTTAAATGTTTCCAAATCCTTTGTTTGATTTGCTGGTAATTTCTTACATCCCCTTAAAAAGTTTCATACGATAAATGTACTGGTATTACATACTGTGAGTGGGTAATTTTGCCACCAAAAAAGTTGCTGGATGAGTCATTTTGCCGAAGATTTTTTTGTCCCTAATTATTATTCCTATTTACGTTGAGAAAACGTTAAATTTTACATATGGTTCGGAATTATTAAAACATGATTTGATCCGAGCCGTGTCATTTTCCGATGGTCTTTCGAATGTCACTAGAGCAAATTACCATCTGGTGTAATGGTGTAGAGGCCATAATTTATGCTCAGAAGCTAACAAATTTTCATAAATCTTTAACGTTACAGAAATTTAAAACTCTTATAATTATGTAAGAAATAGGGGTGAACATTTGTCCTGCTCTGCCCTGCCCATCTGTTATTGATTTAAGACGAATCAATAAATCAGAATACTTAAGTGATACTATTTTCAGATTTCCTATGTCACATCAAGAAAAATCTGTCTTCATCGCCCACCAGAAATTAAAAAAAGCTATCCTATGGAGTTCGCTCACTAATGAATGATTGGTTGTCATTGTCGTGTTGGAATGCTCACGAGTTAAATATGTTCACCTTGTTTATATATTAAAATACCATATATACGGTTTTGTTTTTTACCCAACTTTGTAAAATAACAAAATAGATGTTTTTACTTGGAAGTTTTCTGAAGAATGACAGGAAAAAAACGGATTTTCTAAGATTGTTGATAACTTTCCAATATTTTTAGAAAAATCAAAACATACCAAAAAATATTTTATTTTCGTGGCGGTAAGCTTTACGTAAAATTCATGGCTTTTATGCCGAACAAAATCTGCTAGCAACTATACAAAAAAACACTTACCTAGTGATACGTAGAGCTTCGGTCGGACATTTTCCTGCCAGGCACATAAGTTTCCAACAACAAACACGGTTACAACAACGAATGCAACGGTATGTCGGTATACAAGCCGTTGATGCGGTCGCTGTGAAGTGGTCGACGACAACATGATGGCAAAGGCTTCTTGAGGATGCAACTTTGACACCCTGCTACTATAATAAGCACCTCCAGCAGACGGTAGAATCCACTTGTTTCACACTCACACTGTATCCATGGATAGCTCGTGGATAATTAGCACGTCATTGTTTGAATTCTTCTTGGTTTTGTGGCGCACTAGTTGTTCACGAGATGCACTTTTACGCTGTTACCTATAGTTACTGGTTTACCTCATTATAAAACGTTCACTGATTTTTGTTTCACACTTTTCAATCTAGTAAAAAATGTGCATATCTCCAGTGGGTCAAAACCAATGCTTGTTAAACCGGATGGTTAAAGGTATAATTACAAATTGTCTTATCCTAGTAGTTATTTTTTTTTGATAAGCAAAATCTAGCTTTCGTAAATATCGATTTGAGTATGTACTTTAATAAGTGATGGAATGTGGCTCATCAGATCAGTCCTTTCGGAAATTGTAGGATAATCTGTAAAAGAGTAAAGATAAACGAGTTGATTAGTATTTGTTTTTTTTTTTAAGAAGTATGAATTGGAAATTCGAATTCTAATTAAAACTATAATCATATTTTTATGATAAATTTATGCACGATATCCAAGTGCTGGCTATGTTAACAACAATTAATAAATGAAATTTCCCTAATAAACAAATACCATAAACGAACGGCAACCCAGATGGTAGAACCATCCCACAAATGGTTTGGATGATACCCCTAACACGTCGTTAAGCTATTTCTTATGGTTGTTTTTACTAGGGTTGCCATACTTTCTCCTGGCATTCGTTCTACATTTGTTCAAAAGGCCCAAACATTATTAGGTTTATAATTTGCCATAGGCCCCGACTTCATTTGGCCCCCTCTAGTAGAATGCGTAAGCCTACGCTAACACACGAGTGCAAATTAAAACAAACAATTCCAAACAAGAAATTTAATTGCTCGCGGGCATAAATAACGTGCGCCCCCATCCCCAGCGAAAGGCTCTTGTTTAAATTACTGTTCTCGTTTTGCTCATTCACGAGCACATTCAAACAGGCCGGCATGGCCCGAAAAAAAGCTGCGGAAGATCGGAAGAGCATCCACCGCCCACACGCCTGCCGGCTCCAACCAACGGTCAAACAGCTGCGGGATGGAAAAACAACGACGACGCGGTTAAATGACTCGCAAACAGTAAATTAGTATATCGACGGTACTGACAGAGCTGTTAAATTTATTTCCGTGAAGATTACACTTGTTTGACCGCGGGAAATTCGGAAGACGATATAATAACTGAATGAAAGGAGCAAGGTGGAAGGGAAAAAAGTGCCAAAAAAAACAAAGGTTGTAAAAAATCCAATTAAAATTAAACAACCAAAACACAAAACTACCAGAAATAAATAAGTTACTGAACGGACCAAAGCACTTCTGGCTTTTACCGGGGAATGGCTTGCAGCCATTTTGGGCACTGATGTACACGCGCGGTTCGATGGTCTCTGGAGTGCAAAGCCATTGTTGTGTGCTAGTGACTGGCAGTGCTGCCGGTATGGTTAACTCATTTAAAATTATCCCAAAATGCCGCTGGATATGATGGGATATTTATTCATTAAAATACAGCTTAAAGAGGTAAACCAACCTGTGCCTAAATGTCTTTATAATAAAAGAAAAGAGACTACAATTTGTATGAGGAATTGAATGCCTATGTGGTTATGCACGACACAAATCATTTTCGGGTAGTTTGGGGCGAAAATAAGGGCAAGGCAATACTCAAAAGCATGACCAAAAGTCACTTTTGTGCACGCTTTTCAATGCGCAAAAGTTACATTTGTGCACGATTATTTTAGTTAGGAAAGGTTGGCCGTTATGTTACTCTACCGCATGACGAAAAAATCCGATATTATGATTCACAATTACAAAGAAAATCGTTAAAAAGAGTAGGCGAGCGAATTGAGTTCTTTTACTTAGAAAATCGAGCGATAAGAAAATTGAAAAAAAAAACACATTTTCTCATTACTTTTGACTTTCTTTGCTTGAAAATGCTGTATCTGCTGTAGCTTTATTTTTCCGAAGATATTGATAAAAGAAAGTTCCCAATGCTTTCATGAAAATCACGAAAAATAGAAAATACTCCCCTGGACCAAAGGGGTGCTTAGATTGGCACAAACATTTGCATTCATAAAAGTCTGACCAAACATCTCCTCCAAATTTGGTCCAAATCGGAAGAGATCAATTTCACGTGCCTCGGACACGGAATGACCCATACGTAATTTGTGCTTAATGCATCTATGAAATGGAACAACCAAAAATACCATTCACTTCGGAAAAAAACAAGATGTTTATTGGCATCCTGCAGTGAAACTTTTACTACCTTTCGCCACCTACATTTCAAAGTAAGAACTATTTAAATGATGATTTTTGCAAAATTCTCCAAGGGCGGTTTTTTGGGAAAATCACTCCATAAAGGAAAAGTAATCCTTTTCCGGAGAACTGTTCCTGTAATAGCGTAGGAAAACATTGTTTGTAACTAACTGTACTGTAAGTAATTCTTCCTGTGTGGTTCTGTAATTTTTTCACGGTAATTTATCCATAAACATTTTTGTGCAGCTCTATTATTCGGAAAAATTATAAAATTTGTGATTTCCACTCAAAAAAAAAGTGGAAATTAAATGAATTCCATAAGGAAAGCTTTTAACTTACACACTAAGATTATTTAAAAAAAGTAAGTATTTTTTCCTAGGTTTTTGAATTGCTGAAACTATCAAAATTTATTTTCTATCATTAAATGGGGTTCACAGAACTAAGCCTGTACAAGTTTGGAATAAATTTTGTCATTTTTAAATTTTCTATAGATTTTTAAAATTTTACCGAACAGTTCCGCAGTTCAAAACCCCAGTGAAACCTTACTGACTGAAATAGTGTACAGCGTGCCCAGCAGGGGTGGCAAACGACTGTCATACTGTTCCCTTGTAGTTCATTTGATAGCTGTTGTTGGGCCTTTGGAGCACCATAAATTGATACACATTTACACGTCTAGGAGTAATCTAGAGCAAGCATTGATACTTTATCTTGGTATTCCCTTCACACTAGCACCACCTGCATTTCTTCAGATATATTCACACTGATTTCAACCGTAACAACTGTACTTTTACTGAGAATAACCTCGTCAGAGGAGTAGCATAATTAGGCTGTAGGCAACACTCCTCGATGACGTACTGCATGATACTGGAAACATGTTATCAAGGCCCAGAAGCCAGCAACACCGTTAGATCAACCTCTTTCGATTGCTGATCGACCTCGAGGTAAGACGTGCAGTTGTCCGCACTGTTCCATGCGTAAGACTCCAGCGTGTTGAGTAATTCCTGTCTCAAATGCGGTACTCAAATTTTGTGAATCATGCCAGGGGCCCAATTCTAAATAATTGGACTGTCAGGAACCAGGCACAGATTATATCATAAAATCTGAGCTGCTAATGACGGGAATAGCTCAATGATAAAGTGAGCTTTATTGAAAAAAGCTCGTATTAAACGAGCTTGGATGACCGCAATAAAAAAAAGATCAAGAGAATCAATTTTTAATTAATGGAAACCACGGAGGTTATCAAAAAACCAGAATTGGGATATTCTGGCACAGTATGTGCAATATAATGGAATAAAGAAGCGCCATTTTACGATTTGGGAAAATCGTGCTGTCAATTAGTTGGCTAGTTCTACCCTCATTGGGAGGCCGCAGAGGTTACGAAAAAGCCTGGATTGGTCGATATTCATTTATTTTCTTAATTGCTTGGTTCCCGGTTATTAAAAAAAAACGGCCTTAAACAAAAAAGGCGTTCAGAAATAACCCTTTAGAGATAATGAAATAATTGTGTCAGCCGAACTGCTCTACAATACGTCTACTTTGCAGGGCTGGTAGTGGGTATTTTATGCAATAGTGGTGTTTTTATTGAATAAAATAACGATAAAAGTGACCAAAATTGAGTTTAAAACAATCAAACAATTATCAATAGTGACACTTATTGATTGGAAAAATATGAAAGATGTGGTTCCGATCTGTCGTTGAATCCGACCCGCTTTGATAAATATCATAAACTTACTCCATTTCCTCACACAGCACTCATTTTTCTGAATAGATTTTTTGGAAACCAATCATTTAATAAGTTGAATTTAGATTCAGATCGCGAATTGATTATTAGAATGAATTTAAGGATGTGAAAGATTGAACGTATAAATGTATTAGGAAATATTGAAAAAAAATGAGGCGCAGAGAAAAATGTTCAAAATCTAGGACAAATATGTCAATTTTAAGTCAAGCAATTTTAAAGATCTCGAATACATGAACTTCTATAAAACTTCAAACATAGACAAATCTTCATACCTTTGAAACCTATACAACTGTTCTAGATCGTAGTCTAAGGAAAATTATCATTATTTTGGAAAGAGGAAAGCATTCCCACTTAGAAAAATGTACATGCGTTAATGATTTAAAATCTTGATCTTGAAAAAAATTTTAAGATTCTGGTATACATTTTAAATATATTGGATATTTTTTTGTTAAACACTGGGACTTATTGATTCGCGATCTCTATTACAAACAAATTAAGAAAACCTATAATAATTTACGTTACGTAAGAATGTTAGTTCACAGTCCTAGAAGAAAGTTATGTTTCAAAAATATAGAAAAGATTTCATGATTTGGGACATTGAATTTCTCTAAAATCTGGGCATTTGAAATTTGTTGATTCCGGACTAGTAAATGTATTCTTAGAGCAAATACGCTATGGCCTTTCGATTAAAGAATTTAAATACCTGTTTTTTCGGTTATTCCAGGTTGACTAACCTTGTTTTCCCAATTTAATTGAAACAGCTAAATATGGTAAATTATCCCAAGTACCATCACAAGTTTTATCGCATGATAAAACGCAAATCCTTACTTTCAACGGTTCAGCATAGATTATTATTTCGCTTAACTTTTGACCCAAAAGACTACAGTATAAAGTAAGGTCAAACATGTAATTCTCAATTAAGAAATGGACTTAGAGATGAACTAGCCTAAGGCTAAAAATCTCTTAAATAAAGAATTAAAAAAAAAAATTAAGAAATGGAATTGAGAAGAGAAATGCAAGGAAATCCCCATGAGCATTTTTCAAATAATCTTAAAAGAATCTTTACGTTAAGTTATTTTCTCGAGGTTCTAGAAGAATTTTTTCAAAATATTATCCCACGGCCAAGTCATTTTAAACTGCTCGAATATTTGCATTCTGAGGTGAACTTCAAGGAAATTCTTAGCGATATTCAAAGGATTAATTTCAAAACGGTAACTTTTAAATGGAATCATTTCGATAAATTTAAGGGAAAATTCGCGAGAATTATTAAGAATACTAAGATAATTGTATAGTGGATTCTAATAATTTCCTTGAGGGGATTCCAAAAGTGGTATACAGAGAATTTTGATAGCTATTAGTTATAAATATTTTAATGAAATGCCAGTGGGAATCATAACAT